TATATATATATATATATATATATATATATATATATATATATATATATGTGTGTGTGTGTTTGTAAACAATGTTTATAGATTTATGACTTTATGCACTATTTAGCCTGTTGAGAGCCTTAATGATTACAATCTGTTAAATATCCTGTTACTGATAGCAGGTCCATGTAAGTGTTTTTCAGTTGTCCTTTTGGTGCAATAGTTGCTGTATTGTGCATGCAAGTTTGTTTGTTTTTTTGTCTTGAAGAAGTAAATAAAAACATGTTTTGTCCAAATTAATGTGATTTTATGCTTCCTATTTTCCAGCTCATGTAGCAAGTAGCACTCACCTTAACGAAATCAAAAGGTTTACAGCCAACGCATGTGATCCGTACTGGTGGTCCGCAGTAAAAAACCTGATCGGAGCATCCCTAATTAAAACCAAGTTCTGTTCAGTGGTCTGCTTCGCCATTTCATATTTTTGATAGGAGCAAAGTATAAACAAGTTGTATATGAACAAGATTTTTCGCATCAGATAAAAAAAATAAGCAAAAAATAAACGATCATTTATTGTTTGCCACTTAAAGATAAGAGAACAAAGGACAGACTTTTGGATATTTTGCTGACAGAGACACAAAGGAAAAGTGGTTCTTATTTAGCAGAGGATCATGTGATGCAGTAGAAATGTGAGCAGAAACCATATAAAGCATAATGATGGATGTACAGACGGATGGATGTAGGGCACCCAGGGCCTCCTGTCCCGTGGGGTGGGGCTTTGTGAGCCCCGCCTCCTGTTCATCCCAGGGGGCGGGGCTCAGAGAACCCGGGGTGAAGGGGGTGTGGTCATTCTGTGGCGCTCCCGCCTCCTCTGACATCAGCCAGCAGTTAATTTACAGTCGACAGTTGAAAACGTAGCTGCTATTCTCACATTCCTCTCCTTTAAACTGACCGTTAACAAACCTTATTGTTTAACGTTGTAGCAAAATAAATAAAACAATAACTCGTTACTCCTGCAGCTGTTGAAGCACCACGGCCTGTAATGGCGACGGCATGCCCGGCCAGAGTGCGCGGTAACTACAAAAGACCCGAGGCCAGCCACCTCCTCCGGGGGCTCCGTTTTCCGTTGAGGGCTTTAGCTGTAGTCTGAATCCTGCCCCGGACGAGCGAGCAGCCATGTTCTCATTGTCCGTTGAAATGTAGTAAAAAGAAGCTGAAACCGAGCCGCGGCGGGTTAAAACCTCCACACGCTCTCCGCTCGGCCTCCATTAGCAGCCAACAGCGAGCCCCCATGTTGGACATGGAGAGTACACCGACCCGGGTCCATGTTGGACGGACACAGGCTCACTACGCAGCAGGGAAGCTCTCTAACCCGTCCCGTGTTCATTTTTAATGAAATAAGCCAGAGAGGCGCAGGTCTAACATGGTGTAAACCGCGTGCCCGAGCAGCACGCGCGAGCAGCAGCGCGGCTGTTCATACAGAGAGCAGACATTAGCACACCTACCTCACGGGTCTGGACATTTTGCAGGAACACTGATGCGAGGGGAAAGAGGGGGAGAAGAAAAAGCAACACACGGGGAGGGGGGGAATAAATGGATTCCCGCTCTGTGAAACACCAAGAGGAGCGAGGCTGGCGCACGTCTCCACCGTCCAAGATGGCGAGTGAAAAACAACACAGGCTTCGCTTACTGTCCACAAAACACAAATATCCTGTTTTTTCCTCTGAACGACTCAAAATGGTGAATAAAACAAACTGAAACTGCAGCTTGTGTGCAACCAAACCCACGACATGAAGGAGGCGGGCCTTTGAGAACAAGCCCCGCCCCCACAAACTCTAATTGGAGCGAGGCTGCAGTCTGAGGCTCCCATTGGTTTGTTTGAATGACAACGGTTCTCCTAATTGGATGAGCTAGCTGCTCGTCACATGGACTTTTTGCAAATGTTCTCCTCCTCCCCTAGTAGGATTGGTTGAAACCTCACTTGAGAAAACAAAAAGAGCTCCTCAGGTTGGATGCAAACGTCCAATTCAGAATCAACTCTGCAGTTATGGTTTGTGATTGATACAGATATCACGTGCACGTGTTTATTAGGATTTCTTCTTGTAATCGCATCGATCGTAGTAGAACTAGGACGTGTCTTTCTTCTGTCTCACCTGACAGAGATCAGCAGAGATGAAGGTAGAAGATCCACGAGGCTTCTAACACCCCAGCACTTCTTGATGTGCTTGTTATTATCCACCAGCCAAAAGGCCAATAATAATTATAATGTTTCTGACCATGTGACCATCATCTGTAGTGTTAGAAAAGTATCACACACAAATTGGATACATTTACAATCCATTATTTTCAAGCCAGCCCTGTTTGTGATTCAACTATCCATCCATTTTCTTTACCCGCTTTTTCCATTTTGGGTCACGGGGGTCGCCGGTGTCCATGTCCAGCAATCACTGTGTGAGGGGCGGGGGACACCCTGGACAGGTCTCCAGTCCATCACAGGGACACATAGAGACAAACGAGACAAACAACCATTCACTCTCTCTCTCTCACCTAGGAACAATTTAGAGTTACCAGTCAGTCTAACATGCATGTTTTTGGTCTGTGGGAGGAAACCGGAGTACCCGGAGAAAACCCACGCATGCACAGAAAGAACATGCAAACTCCACCCAGGTAGGCCCCCCGGACCGGGATTTGAACCGGCAACCTTCTCGCTGAGAGGCAGCAGCTCTACCAGTTGCCCGTAATTATAGGTTAGTTATTTATAATGCAGTCATATAATGCATAATACAGATATTGTGTCAAAATTATGTGTAATTGTAACAGAGTCATTTACACAGGTTAAATGTTCAATACATAGTTCCCACACACATGACCGGTATTGCGCAATACCATGTTTTCCGCCATATGTAAGGGCGAATTTGAGGAAGATGGCTTACAGACAGAGCAGAGCTCAGTGTATTGATACTCTTGACCAAGAGCCAGATATAGGCATAAAAAAGCTGCGGTCGGAGTTGACCCGTATGAGGTGGAGAAAGAAATGTCAGACGAAGCGAACAAGTTGTCACCGAGAAGTGACTCTAATATCGTTTAGTGAACATGAGGAGCCTACAACGGAGGAGCTTCGCAGCTTTAAATCCATGGATGCTTATAATCAATTTGTGAAGGACGTCCCAACTCTTCATGTTAATAAAGTTCTGGTGACTGGCAGAGTAAGTAGATACAATAATATACACGTAGATGTCCCTCATAGCTACATGCTACATCAGCTAAGCTAATCTTTGCACAAGCTACTTCAGCTTACCTGAAACTTGTGCTCCAGTAAAGATCTACTTGATGTAGCTTGAGCCACGTAAATGTCACTGATTATTTCTCACATTACTGCATTATTTATTTTCACTAAGACTGCCTTTCATACTTAAATTAGTGTTAACAAAATGAATCATTGGTAATTATTGCTCAGTCATAAAATTTAACATGTTACAGTAAATGTCACTGATATTATTTATTTTCCACTATGACTGCTTTTGTTAATAAAGTTAGTGATGAAAAGTTACAATTAGTGACTCCTTTTAATCCACAGGTTAAATGTTTTAAAACCCTGAAACGAGAACATTTTAATAGTTTTCCTCCTGTGTTGTATTTCTGTGCGAGGTTCTCCCAGAAGATGAAACTCCACTTGGTCCAGAAGTTGTGCAGTCGTGCACCACAGCAACAAATGAGTGAAAATATCATTTCTATAAATGAATCTGCTTTTGACGTACATGTGTTGTGGTTGTGAAACATGCATTCCTAAATGTACGTGTGCTTATCTTTAGTTTGAATAAAACAGTTGCACCAAGTTTCACCTTCTTTATTTCAATAACTAAGATCCTCTGTTTAATCTCCAGTACTGAGAAATAGTTTCATTGTAATGTCTCCTCTACTGGACATTATTCTACTGCACATCAATAAAACCTGGGTGTAGTGATTGTTCTTTAACAACTTACCAGTTTAGTGTTTTATTGACATGTACAAAACATCAAAACATGCATGTTGCTGTATGTTCCTCCTCCAGGAGGAGACTGACACAGTTCTAAGTCAAAGCCTATAAATAGAAATTCAAAACAGCTGAAACTGATACAAGATGAGAACTGTGGGTGATTTGATGTCTTTTAATGAAAATTACTCCATGCAGCTGATCATAGTGGGCTACAGATTAAAAACCAGATCAACAACTCTTCAACAAGGACTGATGGAGACCAGTGGAGTTTCTGTTCCAACACACACAGTTATACTCTGACATTGTTCTGACAGTTTCACAAAATTTTTTATATAGAATTTTTTGTTTACCGGACAAAAAGTGATCGGCTCACAACGTCTTCGAGGGCAGATCCTTATCCAGACTCAACGATGTTCTGTGGTGAGCTCCTCCGATGGCGGTCCTTCACATTTCATTATTTTTGGGATTAAGTGACAACTGCACTTTGCCCAAATGTCTACCTGGTTGTAACATCCTCTAACCCAGCACGAAACAACCAATGCAATTTACTTAACGGGGAAAAAAAAAAAGATAAAATTAACTAACGGTAAACTGCACTGTATCTGTACCTTCTGCTAGAGGCAGCCTTCCAACATGGAGGACGCACTGGAAATGCTGCTGCAGCTGATGCAGTCCAAGTAGCATGCGGCTCGGGTGGTCACTGAGGAGAAAACTCAGGTGTGGGAGGAGTTCGGAGAGGCCATGGAGAAGGACTTCCGTACGGCTTCGAGGCAATTCTGGTCCACCATCCGGAATATGGGGGGAGGGGTGTGTGTGTGTGTGTGTAAAGCGGTATGCCACCAACACCATTTATAATGGAGGTGGTGTGCTACTGACCTCAACTCGGGATGTTGTAGGTCAGTAGGCAGAATACTTCAAAAACCTCCTCAATCCCACCGGCACGTCTTCCACTGAGGAAGCGGAGCCTGGGGACTTTGGGTCAGGCTCTCCAATCTCTGGTGCTGAGGTCAGCGAGGTGGTTAAAAAGCTCCCTAGTGGCAGGGCCCCGGGGGTGGATGAGATTCGCCCTGAGTTCCTTAAGGCTCTGGATGTTGTGGGGTTGTGTTGGCTTACACAACTCTGCAATATTGCGTGGCCATCGGGGGTAGTTCCCCTGGATTGGCAGACTGGGGTGGTGGTCTCCCTATTCAAAAAGGGGGTCCGTAGAGTGTGTTCCAACTACAGGGGGATCATGCTCTTAAGCCTCCCTGGTAAGGTCTATTCAGGGGTTCTGGAGAGGAGGGCCCGTCGGATAGTCGAACCTCGGATTCAGGAGGAGCAGTGCGGTTTTCGTCCTGATCGTGGAACACTGGACCAGCTCTACACCCACAGCAGGGTCCTGGAGGGTGCGTGGGAGTTTGCCCAACCAGTCTACATGTGCTTTGTAGACTTGGAGAAGGCATTCGACCACGTCCCTTGGGGAGCCCTATGTGGGGTACTCCGGGAGTATGGGGTACCGGGCCCTTTGATACGGGTTGTTAGGTCCCTGTACGACCAGTGTCAGAGCTTGGTCCGCATTGCCGGCTGTAAGTCGGGATTGTTCCCAGTGAGAGTTGGACTCCGCCAAGGTTTTCCTTTGTCACCAATTCTGTTCATAACTTTTATGGACAGAATTTCTAGGTGCAGCCAAGGTGTTGAGGGGATCTGTTTTGGTGGCCTTAGGATCACTTCTCTGTTTTTGCAGATGATGTGGTCCTATTGGCTTCATCAAGTTGTGATCTACAGCTTTCGCTGGAGTGGTTTGCAGCCGAGTGAGACACGACTGGGATGAGGATCAGTTCCTCCAAATCCGAGGCCATGGTCTTGAGCCAGAAAAGGGTAGAGTGCCCTCTCTGGGTCGGGGAGGAGGTCATGCCCCAAGTGGAGGAGTTCAAGTATCTCGGGGTCTTGTTCACGAATGAGGGAAAAATGGAACGTGAGATTGATAGGTGGATAGGTGCAGCATCGGCAGTGAAGCAGGCACTACGTTCAAACGTACAGTCTACGTTCCTACCCTCATCTATGGTCATGAGCTTTGGGTTGTGACCGAAAGAACGAGATCATGGATACAGGCGTCTGAAATGAGTTTTCTTCGCAGGGTGTCTGGACTCTCCCTTAGAGATAGGGTGAGAAGCTTGGTCATCTAGGAGGGACTCAGAGTAGAGCCACTGCTTCTCCACATGGAGAGGAGCCAGTTGAGGTGGCTCGGGCATCTGGTTAGGATGCCTCCTGGACACCTCCCTGGTGAGGTGTTCCAGGCACGTCCCACCGGGAGGAGACCCAGGGGAAGATCCAGGACACGCTGGAGGGACTATGTTTCTTGGCTGGCCTGGGAACGCCTTGGGATTCTCCTGGAGGAGCTGGCCCAAGTGGCTGGGGAGAGGGAAGTCTGGGCCTCCCCACTTAAGCTGCTACCCCCGCGACCCGACCCTGGATAAGCGGAAGAAAATGGATGGATGGATGTTTGGGTCAGGTAGTGCATGGCACCACCTATGTCCCTGTTTTCAACATTGGGACTATTGATGTCGTTCTTTACCCGCAAACTCACTTGGGGTTGTTGAGCCGAACACAAGTGATTAGCTTGCCTCCTGGTGTGACAGAGATTAGGCCAAGTGTGACAGTTTCTTCTCATGTGGCTTATGGGTCAGAGCAGAGCGTGGCAGACTATGTCGATTTGTCTGTTCTGACAGAACCTGAACAACGGCATGTTCAGTCGCTGTTGCAGAAATACAACTCAGTCTTTTCAGCCCTTGAAGGTGACTTGGGGTGCACCAACCTGGTTTCCAATGACATTCCCCT